TTCATATAAAATGTTACTTTTATTAATATATAATGGGTTATTACTTTTAAATGAACTCTTAAAATAATCTCAGAAAATATGGCAAATACCAATAGACTCAGTACACAAAAATAAAAGCTCTTTAGTGTCCTTAATGACTTTCAGAAATCTACAATTACCCTGAGACCAAAAAGTTTGAGAACAGCTGCTATAAAATTAATGATCACCAACTGGTTGCCAGGGTCTTAATATGTGCTACAGATCTACCTTAGAATAGCACAAAGCTATTCTGTTTTCAGTTTGAATTGCTTTTTACCATTTAAAAACGGAAAGGATATCTCATGAAATCTAGATCTCTTAACTTTTCTTGGAAAAAAAATTAGAAGATCTTATAATACTAAGGCATATTCCTTTAGGCAACAATCCATTTGTAAGACAGCTCTTTCGTACACAGGCTAGATTCTCCTCATGTAGGTTATGTGCCTGGCCTCTGCAGGTGTTTGACTTTTCAGCCTCTGTTAGTATACTGGTGGTGAGACCGTGCAAAGTTTTAAGCAGTGAGATTTGTGTTTATGATTAGAATCATGATGGACAGGTGAAGTCTGAATTGAAGATTGTAAGTTCTGTGATAAAGCTTTATCTAATGTTTGAAACACTTTAGGCACTTTTCCAAAGGGGCTGTTTTCTCCTCTAGTCTGAGAAACAATGGCCAAGCGATTTAGTAATGACTTACACCTCTTCAGCAAATCAAGACGTGTGAGAAACGCATTTCTCTGAAGTTATATTAAGGTGGAAATAAATAAACTATATTTACCTTCTACATGGCATGCTAAGGAAACTATTTGGCATACACATTTTCACTTCTAGGCACTTAACCTGGTCTATCAGTTAAAATAATTATTAAAATTTACCTTCTCTTCAATCCAGGATTCAATAGAAGTTTTATTTCTGAGAATTATTTTCATCTGAAAATTAAATGAGTGAAATTTAATAATATGACTTCAGTTTATTTAAGATTATTGTACTCACTCTAATTCTGAGATAGCTTTCATTGCTCCATGTCATAGGTACAGACACTGAGCATAACAGTGGTTAAGTAACTAAGTCTGTTTTCTATCTGACTCTAACACATTTATTCTTAACTGTTGCACAATGCTTTGTCAGAAAAAAGATCATATTAACCCGTAATCAAATCTGAATCTCTTATTTTAATTAAAATTCATGTTTTAAATACTATCTGCAGACCAAGGTTTCAAAATATTACTAAAACACTGATACAATCAATTCAATTAGTACCTAAGTGTATTTTGTTACTAAAATCTGTTATCAGTGTTTTTAATTAAATGTATGATTAATCTATTTATCACAAGTAACAGTGACTCAGTTCATTCAACAGAGAGGCTCTGCTCACCTCAATGCATTCAGTCTTTATTCTATTACCCATTTTCTTAGATACGAATAATTCTATTCATGTAGGTTTTTACATATCAACATCTTAGTTTACTGTTAATATGATTCTTAATTACAGGCATTAAGAAAATTTTAACAAATTTGGTCCCAGGTTTTTAAAAAATATAAATGATAACCAAAGCCAGCTTATTTTAAAACAGAACATTCAAAAAAGGATGCTATATCAAGGCTCTCAGGCCCACCAGTTCTAATTCTACACGCTTTTTGGATTTCCCTGAAGTCTGGCTGTTCCTTCAGATTAGGACATAGCAAAAGCAACTCTGGACTAGCAGTCCTTAATCACATTTCAAGAGTCTTCAATCACCTACATTAGGCCTTCAATGAATGAAGTAAGTGAATAAAATGAGTTATAAAAACTGCCTTTTATGGTCCTCTCCTCGTGTTCAAAAGCATTTTGTACGTAAATCTAAGATGTACCTATAACCTTGAATTAGGTAACCATTTACTATTAATTATGAGTTCCTTGAGGGTTCCCTAAGGAAGTTCTTCATTTTATTACTGTAGTCTCAGAAATTAGCAAAATACTTCTCTCTCAGAGTGAGCATTAAATAGCAAATATCTCATGCAGTTGTTATAAATGCACTGATATGCAAAATGCCTAAAACTGTGCCTTATATAAGTGATCAATAAGTGTTAGCTACGTTATTACGATTACTATAAAGTATATATTATAAAATGACATTAATAATTATGTTTACTGAATACAATGAATGGGTGGCCCTGTAAGTCACTTACCCTTTTCGAGAATCAATTATTCATCTATAAGGAAGGGAAGAGGGTAACGTTCCATCAACTTTTTTAAGGGTTGATGTGAAGATCAAGAGGAACTGTAAACTGTGGAAAGTTTTCTGAACTATAAAGATCTATATAATTCTAGGTTAACATTTCACAAATGAAATCAATTACCTAGAAACTCTGGCAAAATTGCCTCACTAACATGACAACTTGTAACCAAAGGTAACGGAGAGACTTACTTGGATAAAAAACAACATCCCAACAGCTATAGTTGTTCCTAAAGCTAATCCCAAGGCAAACAATGTGGCAGCAAATGCAGCTAATCCAAAGGGAACGATTGGAAGAGGATCTCTCCGGGCTGCACTCATATCAATCTTCACTGTGTTCCACCCAAAGGAGAGCTATAGACAACACACACTTAAAATGCTTGGTTACGGTCACTGTTCCGACTCTGGAGTAACATTTAAAACAATGTGATCAAAAAGGTAACAATTTCACACTGTGGCCAATGCAAATACATCATAGTTGTTTCCAATGAATACACCGGCTAGCATTTTGTGCTGATGTATATGACATCATTCTTAGTTCTTAATTATCTTCCTGCCCTCCCGCCCATGCTAGGGATAAAACCCAGGACCTCACAAATGCTAAGCAAATGCTCTACCACTGTGTTACATCCCCAGTGCCATTCTTGGTTATCTTTCCGTGATATTTGCTCTATTCTCAGAGCCAGGTCAGTCCAGCGCCATAAACTCACTGACGTACACGAACAACATTAGACAGCAACCTAAGCTGTAACTATCTCCCATCTTCTCCTAGCTATTCTACATTTATAATTTTCTTCAACTGCAACAAATACTGTACAGCCTATGGTTTGGCTATTTGTTCCTTCATGTTCCATTGGCTAAGAGCTGGTAAAATGAAAGCCAAACACGGCCTATAGATGTATACTGTCTGACCTGAACAATGTTTTAAAATTTTAAAAGTTAGGTGCCACTATTGAAGTTTAGGAAATTTCACATAAAAACTTTTAGAGTTTTAGATTTTCTTCTGAAAACTGGAGGATCCAGGTAGCACTCCTGGGCTAGGAATCGCAAACACTAAGAACTGGCTAAATAAAGTCAAGTATGGGTTGTCCCCTCTGTGAAAGACATGCACTCTCCAGTTTGCCATAGTCCCATCAGTTCCGTGTTCCTCATTTTTCTTCCAAGGCTCCTTAGGGATTTTTATTTGTAACCTATGAACTTTAGCTCATGACTACTTGTCTATAAAGCAACTCAAACCACTGTTGGATAGATCTATTCATACTGTAGGGTGCAAGCTTGCTCCATGAGCCACCTTCCAGGGCACTGTAGTTAGAAGTGAACAAAAGAACTACAAACTGGCACATGAACAGATAGAAACAGAAAGTACTTAGCGTCTTTTTCTTCTTGCTATTTTTCCCATAACTATTAAGCTTGAAGTCTGATAAATGACATGTACAGTATTAAAACAATTATCAACTTCAGTAACAGCATGTCTTTCCTCATCTCAAAGGAACTCTTAAAGGAAACAGAAATCTTTGCTTATCATGAAGATTACATTTAAACTTTTCTTCAAAAGGAACTGATATAAAGGTAAAAACCAAAATTGTTTCCCCATGTATGTCACAAGAAGTATATTTCTAAAAGGAAACTTAAAATAGTATTGACAACTACCACTTAATCTGACGTGAATGATATTATAACAAAATTCTTACTTACCCGATTATAAAGCTGTGTGTACATAGTCATAACAAAAATGAAAGCAGCATGGATACAACCCAGTGGTGCTAAAAGGAGAAATAGTGTGAACGAAGCATGATTTTGGTAACCACAACAGTTGTTGATCCAAGGACAGTGATGGTCCATCTTCATCACACATCTAATAAGAAAAATTTACATGACACATGAAGCAAAAAGTCTTGTCTATGTTAAATAACTTGGTCTTTAAAAGATCAAACAAATAGGAATCCAGCAGGTCTGAGTCACAGGGGAACTATACTTCATGAAACAGAAAGACAAATATGATCTTTTGAACAACTATGGATAGTGACTCCTTTTAAAATTATAAACAGCACATGAAAGAGCAGGCTTTATAACAGCTTCTGAGAAAAAGATGTCTGCTACAAGTGAGTTTGTTTAAAGAAGTTAGGAGCAGCCAGGCATGGTGGATCAAGCCTGTAATCCAAATGCTCTGGAGGCTCAGGCAGGAGGACTGAGAGTTCAAGGCCAGCCAGAGCTACAGAAGGGGACACTATTTCAAAAACAAAAATAAAAAACCTCCCCCACAAAAAAAAAAAAAACCAAAAAACTGGGAAGTACACAGGGTTCCTGGCTTTCCTCTAATTGAGAAATGCAGGAACTAAGGCAGAGTACAACAGTGACTCAACAAAATTGCTTATAAATCTCAGGGTTCATGGGCCCTAAGAGATACTCAAATTTCCTTTCTCACTGTTCTAGCACATTTCAGATGTGGAACCTCTAACCCTAAGCAAACCAACTCTATATGTAACATATGGCATAATAAGAAAATTTTTTCTGCTTGTTTCTTAGTGTTGCTATAGGAAAATTTCCTTAAAATCAAATTTTAGCTATCTCCAGTGGTTACCTAAATTTCTCATTCATCAGTAGACATAGCTGTTCATTATAACAGGTGCTGGCTTATTTCACGTATTTTTCAGTGATTCAGTTTTCTTTCTATTAGTATTACAGTTCCTATAATAAAACACTTGTGACATTAGGCACCTGGATTGATTTTTTCTTACACAATAAATAATAATAAAAAAAAATGGTCTCCTTTATAATTCAGATTTAGAACAATTCTAAAGCTTGTAAGATGACAGTCAACACAATCCTGAAAGAAAAAATGGAAACTAAAGATATCATTTTTTATCCAGTTCTTGCAAGGCAAGAGGCAAAGTATGTCTATTTTTCTAGACAAACCTTTTTATTTATATCAAAAGTATGAAATTTATTATCTAGACTGATAGTTTAAGTGTACATTAGAGATTATGGACCAGAAATATTTTGATGAAATTTCTGATAAAAGTGCACCTTTCAGAGAATAAAACTAGTTTCTTCTGCTGTGGTAGAAAATACAATGACAAAAACAACAAAAAGCCCAGCAATCAAGTTGATCAACCCCCAGTGAAAAAGACAAATACCTGTTACATTTTCTGCAGTGATGGGAACGTGGTGCCTTGTAGGCTTGACAGACTTTACAATACTGGAGATACATGCTATCCTGAGAATTTTCCTTGCATTAAAACAGAAACAAAAATATGTTAGAACCTTGATCACAAGGTATAACAAGTGAAGCTTTATGATAAAATGCTTTCCTTTCATGAATTTCTTTTATGGGAGATGGGGGAAGAGGAAGAATAGAAACTAAACTTACATTTTTCAGGACTTTAATTTGAACTAAATTATTTTTAAACTACAAATCTGTGGTGAGGGCAGCTTCAATTACTAAGTGGTCATTTTAAATTTCTCTTCCCCGTGCTATACCTCAATCCAATGTCATTAGTTGGTTCTACCTATCCCAATCTTACTAGAATAAGAGCAATTTAGAAAAAGGCAGCTCATAGTTTAAGAGTAGGGAGTTGAGCAGGAATTGATAGTTTCTGAAATCTGTCCTCTCCTTGATATTATTGTCATTACTTCCCCTTGTTGGGGCCATTTTAATACTTTTCTAGCTAGTTTCCTTTCCTATAGTTTCTCTTTAATCTTGCTGTAACACAATTCTGTCAGAGCTCTGCTTCAAAATCTCAAGAAACTCCCTCTGTTCTAACAGTTTCTCATGTATTGGAGACTTCTGTGAGTTGTCATTGTTTCATCCTTATCTGCACTACATAATCCTTTTCCAGTCAGACAAAGCTGTCCACTGTTTCTGAATATGTGATTCCAATGTTCTCTCAGCGTCAAACGCTTTCTTCCTCCTATCTGTGCAAACTCCCACTCCTCCCATAGGTCTCCAGCTGACAGCTCATTCTTTTAACCTCAATAGCACTCAGCACATTCCACTGTATTTTATAGTCGAATAATTTGCATAGTTGAATAATTTGTATGGGTCTTAAGTTTTTCCAAAATATAAATTGTGTCTCACCCTTTTCTCTACCCATTTCAAATAGTACACTGCACATCGACCACACCGTCAAACTTTCATATGCCTAACAATGACCTAAAGATTCTGTTAAAATGAAGATTGGTTCAACAGGTCTGTAGGAGAGCTCTAGATTCTGCACTTCTAACAAGCTACACGGTGATATTCCTCAGCAAGCAATTGGCTACTCATAAGCATAATCTTTCTAACAATTTTTAAGAAGCCATAAATTGATTCATAGTATAATTGCTAAGGCTATAATCTTACAATGATTTAAAAACTTCATGACTTAAATCAACAGTTCCTACAGTGAATTTTTTCACAGTTCTGAGGGATTTTAATGTATTATGTGAAAAAAAAGTCCTGCAGCCAAAATGCATTGTGACCTTACTAGACAGTTACATGATAGCTGGTGTTACTTTATCACCATGAACTCCTCCCCCAACTGAGTATGTTTTTTTAAATGCAAGACAAGTATTCAGTGAAATTGTTTTGCGTAAAACTAATGTAGACCAGTATTTTCAAACAGATAGGAAATAAATTCTCTGAGCACAGTGTTTAGAGTAATACAATTAGTCTACACCATGACAAAAAATAGGCTAATACTACTGGTTGGCAGATAAGGCCAAAACCAAATACTGTACACAATTATCGGAGTTCACTGTTAAAAGGTAAATCTTTTTCTTACCGGTTTCCATCCCAGAGGGACAAAGCCAGGACCAACAAACATGGCATTGAAGTAATTATAAAGAATCATAACAGTCCAGTTTATCAACATGATGAAGTTCACGCTTCCTCCAGTTGTATGCAGGGGCCAATACCACAACACAGAGTCAATCATGGCCATTGTAGAACATATTGCTATAACACCGAGGGCTATGATGGGACCCCAGTGACACAGTCTCTTTAATTCTTGGAGATTTTCAAACTTGATAATTGAGCACAATGAATTCATTTTGGGGAAGAAGAATGCTTTTCTACTTCTAAAGAATTATAGATTTCCTTTTCCTGTGTACACATTTCCATGTGCCACAAGTCCATGTGTGTTCCTTGATTGTCATGCCTTCAAGTTACGAGTTGTTAATACAGATTATGCCATTTTCACTCTTCACTCAGAGCTCTTGATTTTAACCAGGAGAATCCAGTAGCTTGGTTTGAAACCCAACCTAAAGAAAACAAAAGACAGTTCAGTAGGAAATTTTTGTTAACTCCAAGAAGCACCTAAGAGTATCTCAGAAGTGCACTATTAAGGGCTGAGTATTTAGTCAAATGTCAAAAAAAAGAATTACTTTTGACTTATCCAAAATACAGTTCCATTTTGAGTAGCATGTAAACTGGACACGATTCTAAAATAATCTTATTCCTTTGTTCTCAGCTTGTCAAGCGACTGTAACTGTCCAATATTTCGAGAATGGTTTGAGATGACAACGAATTTTAGAGCTGGGAAGCAGGCCTTCGGGCTGATCTCATGCAGCTTCCTTCTTAATAGAACAGAAATTAATTTAGAGAGGCGAAGTGCTTAGATCAAGGTCGTATTCAGGGCGTTCTAAACCACCTCTGATGGAAGGGTTCTAAGTGTGAAGCACTATAAGTCACTGACTTATAGCTTCGCCAAGACAGCACTCAGTCTAGGGTGGCCAAAGATGGTGTAAGGAAAGAGATTTCGAGGAAAAGGGAGGATGCGTGTGTCTGTGTGTGTGTTTGTGTGTCTGAAGTCATGACTGAGATGGTACATGTGTGAAAGTCTCTGAGATTTGAAGAAAAGAAATAATTGCCTCCGGAAGCGAGGGAGGGGAAGCGCAGGACGTATTTCTGACTGCTCTGCACTGAGCCGCGGGAAGAGGCGCTGAGATACACAGGTAAGGAGAGGCGCTGCGATACACACGTACAAAGAGATGCCACTGCTCTGTGCCTTAGTTTCCCGCCCGCGTCACGGAGCAGAGCGCTCACCAACCTTCACTCAAGGCTGAAGCATCCTAGCAGGTGAGGCTGGTTTCAACACTCTGGGGATTCGCAGAGGGGACGGAGACCACCCAAATCGTGGTTGGATTTCCTGCCTGACTCCCACCTCAGTCTCGTCCTTAGTGTCCGCTTCTCAGCCATCGCATTTTGGGGACGTCCTGGGCTCACCCGGAACAGATTTCCTCCTTCTTAGATAACTTCGGCAGGGACATCTCAGTCCAGAACAAGCAGGAAGCAAGTCCCGGTCGCCACCGGCTGAAGCGCAGAACCTGCCTAGACCCGCCCGTCTCCGCCCGCGCCCTCGCCGTTACTCTCCCGCGCAGGCCCCCTGCGCAGCCTCCGCCACATCCACTTCCGGGAGGTTCGCCGCATTAAGCTTCCCCCCAGGAAGCAGTCGCTTGAGACTGCTTGAGACTGTGTGAGTCAAGCCGTTTCCCAGAACGTAGAGGGGGAGTATGATTCAGTGACCTCTGAGAACACGCATATCTCTGTAGGCTTTTTCTTTTGCGGGGGGAGAGGGCGCTAATTGGGATGCTTTTCCTCAGCGAACGTCTCAACCTTGAAGCCTGAGCGGAAAATAAAAGGTACGGGCAGCCCAGTTTCCGGAGGATAAGAGATTACGGAGAACAACCAGGAAGCGGCTGGGCTCGGAGCTGTCCTCGATTTTCCCGGATTTTAAAGGTGCCTGCCGAGGTCCCTACACCGCGGTCCCCTCCCCCGACCCAAGGCTGCAGCCGGGGCCCGTCACTCCAGAGTTGTCATGTCGTCCGACTTCGAAGGCTATGAGCAGGACTTCGCGGTGCTCTCTGCAGAGATCACTAGCAAGATTTCGAGGGTCCCTCGACTCCCGCCAGGTGAGCACCCTAGCGCGGCCGGGCGGGGGCGTTCTGGAGAGCCCAGAGGCTGGGGCGGTGGAAAAGCGCGGGGGCGAGAACGTCTGCCCGGCTCGAGGCTGTTGTGGGCGGTGCTGGCGGCCGGGAGGGGGCGAGGCTTGACTTGACTTGGTTCAGGGTGAGGAGAAATTCGAAGCCGGGTTATGGGGTGCAGCGTAAAGAACCTTTTGGAGTTCGAGCCGTTTGGATTCCGAGCCTCTCGCCTTGTGACTTGTATAATCATGAAAACGTTTCTCTGAGTCTTAACTTTTTTCTTTTGTACTTTGAGCTTTGAATGGTGAAAGAAAATGAATGAAAATAGCAAGATCGTAGATCGCAATATACGGCAGCGTTGTGGTGTTAGGAATAATAAGACTAGTATTATATGCTACAAAATAGAATTAAGAGCCAGGATACCTGGATTCAAATTCCAGCTCTGCCACTTAGGAATTGTGTCGCCAAGGCAAGTGTCTTAACCTCTCAACTTTCCTGCTGGCTCCAATGGGGAGAAATGTACCGCTCTCAGAGAGTTGTTGTGAATATGAAATGATATAACACGAATAGAACCCTTTCTTGTGTGTTCACGAATGTTATCATCAGTATTTTCCATACGTATTTCTTTTTTTTTGGTTTGGTTTTTTTTTTTTTCTGGTACGGGGAATCGAACTCACGACCTTGCGCTTGCCAGGCAGGCACTGTGCCGCTGAGCTAAATTCCCAGCCCCTCCATACATATTTCTTGTTTCTCACTCTTAGAGGTTTATAATCCAATTTTATCTAAAACTTACTTGTTACATACAGGATAGTTTTGCTCACTTTTAAAATTCCACGACTCCCATCTGGAGCTATTTTATTTGTTTGGGTTTTTTTTTCTTTTTTCTTTTTTTTTTGCAAGTATTAACTTCCATACTAGATTGTCAACCGCGAAGGTGGGAGCTGTGTCTGATTTCCTTGGCATTTATTTACTAAAGGCTCAGAAAAATGTTAAAGTGAATGAGCAGAAGTCTAAAAATATTTGTGACTTACATTGCTAGGTATTTTTTTTATGGTATATCTTTCTCTAAGTACAGATTTAATTTTACTAGTTAGTTACACATAAGATTTTTACTTCTTGGTTTAGTTTCGTCTTTAAGTTGCTGGATTTGACTCTTTTCGGGTAAAAAGTGTAGAAAGAGGATGCTTATTGATCCGCAGAACTTTCTCACCTTGTTAGTGAAGTCCTTGATGCCAACAATGATTTTTTCCTGGACCTAAGTTGTCATTCCTTTTTCTCTTCCCTTACTTCCCCCCAAACTTTGTGTTTATAAATAATTTTCTTCCTTTATTTCCTTGTTTTTCTCCTCCCCTCACCCCACCTATTTTCTGTTAATAGGGGTATTTGCTTGAAGCCAGGATCTCTGAACTCACACCCTACTCATCTCCTGAAGCCCCAGTTAGTTCTGGAGGAGGTGGATGATGTCTTAAAGAGGTTTATGAATCCAAGTAAGGGAACAAGAGGAGAGAATCAAAGTAGTATGTACCACCGAGCTCTGCTGCCTCAGAGATTTTTGTGGAGAAAGTGGCTGATTGCCTCATGACTTCCTGACACACCATACACCACCTCGTCTCTTCTCTTCAGCTCTGCTTTTCTCCACTGCCCAAGATCATCTTGATTTTGTTGTCATTGCTGTCAGAGACTACTTCCTTTGAATTGAATCCCAGAGCCTCATACTATCAGGATTTGCGATTTCAGTTGGATTTATGCTCAGTGTTAATTGTAATGATTTTAGTAGTAGAAACATCTCTGTTTGGCCTAATAGCTTTTGTGTTGAAAAAATGTTTTACCAAGTAACAGTCATCTCTGCCTCCAAAGTTGTAAAAACTGTTTAGAAGAAAACAAATTTTGTTACAATTGAGTTTTTCTTGCCTTTAAATTGTAGATGTTTCAGTTCTTACTACATAAAGGAAACACTTGCTTTGAATTTTCTTTTTAGCCCACCTGTAATCTGAACAGGCTGTGAGGCTGAGGGACAAGGATGAAAAGTTCTAGCCCACCCTGGGCAATTTAGTGAGCAAACAAGATCCTGTCTCAGAATAAAATATTTTAGAAAGGGATGAGGATGTAGCTTAGTGCTAGGGCCCTGTGTTCAGTCTCCAGTACTTAAAAAATAAATAGTTTAATTTTTTAAAAAGCCATGCTTCTTCTTAGCAGTAACATAGTGTAAGGCTGAAACTTGTCATCTGCGTTACAGTTGAAAGAAGACTTCATTGCTTGAGATCAGAAAAATGCTTATTTACCAGGCATGGTAGCACATGCCGCTACTCCCAGCTGTCAGATACTGAGGCAGGAGGATCTCTGTGAGTTTGAGGCCAGTCTGCGCTGCGTAGTGAGACAAAAAAAGTTTATTTAAATAATTAAATAACTTCAAAATATAGTGGTTTTCCTCTTAATAATGACTTGTGCTTGGTCCCTTCATAATTTGCTTCTAATTGATAAATAGAAAGATTTTAAAAATATAATGTAGTTACGATTTTCAAGTGTATGTCTGCAGACTAATTGAAATTAGTATGTATAGCCATGGCAAAACAATATGATTAAAAGTAATTATAATATCGCTGTCAGGGCATCATTAGGGGTTGTGGTGCTTAGCTAAAATTGACCCAGAGGAGATGAACTATAATTTACTTCAGTTAAGAACATTAAAAATTGGAGCATGCCAGGCATGGTGGTGCATTCCTATAATCCCAGCACTCGAGAGGTGGAGGCAGGAGGTTTGCAGCCACTTTGAGGCCAGCCTGGGTTACATAGTGAGTTCAAGGCCAGCCTGAACTACATAGCAGGATCCTGTCTCAAAAAGCAATAAATAGAATTAAAAAAAAAATTAAAATCGGAGCAGACTCTCCAGCCAAAGCAGTAGTAATTTCCAGCCAAAGCAGTAGTAATTCATCCTCAGCATAGTAATTTATCTAAATTGAAGTCGAGTGGAAACAATCTATTGAAATAAACTTTACCATTTGCTATGCATATACAGTGTACTGTTACTTCCAAAGAGAATAAGAAATTTAACGTTTTAAAACTTTGTTTTAAAAATTTGATTACATCACATTTTGTTAACAAAAAATCTGCTGTTAGACTAAAATATTTGAATCTTACCTAATTTAGTACAGTAGTTGGATGTTGAGATGGGTGAGTCTCTTCTTAATGAGTATTCTGATGGCACTACATTTCTAAACTGGTTTTTAATGATTACTGTTTCATTCCGTGGGGGCAAAGTTCAGGAAAATTGATAAGCAGAAATCATAAACCAGTACTTTATAGTGAAGTTCCTTTTATGTATATAGCACTAGAGATTGAACCCGAAGCCTTTTGCTTGCTAAGCAAGTGCTCTACCACTGAGCTACATTCCCAGCGCTTTTTATTTTGTGACAGCTTCTTGCTAAGTTGTCCAGGTTGTCCTTGTAATTGAAATCCTCCTGCCTCAGCCTCTGCAGTAGCGGAGATTACAGGTGTATACCACTGCCCCAGCTACGTTCCTTTTCTTTTGGGATGGGAGAGAATCCCTAAGTGGGGAGTTTCCATTACATCAAGCACACTTTTTGAAAGATCTTAGTTTTCTTTGCTGGCTACTTTCTTAACCTCACCATTCAGAGACAAAAATGGTCTATTGTGAATCCTCTAAATTTGTGGTTGTAGACAGAAATGAATCAAGAAAGTATTATGAAGTGTTGGTTGCACATGCCTATAATTCCACTACTCTGGGATGATGAGGCAGGAGGATCCCAAGTTCCAGCCCAACCTGGACAATTTAGCAACTTATGGAGACCCTTTCTCAAAATAAAAATTAAACACCAGGGGTGTAGCTCTGTGTGAAGACCTTGGGTTCAGTCCCTAGCACCCCCCACACACACACACGTTTAAAATCTTAGTTCTTCTACTTAGTAGATATGCAATCATGGACAAATTGTTTGATTCTGTAAACATGCCTCTTGCATTTGTATGATAGGAGCAAAGGAGCAATAGTTTTAACCCTGCATGTTTTCATAAAAATCAAATGAAACAAAGCATGTAACACATTAGTATAGTTCTTTCACAGAGAAAGTGTGTGATAAATTAGTCTGTTATTGATATCACTGCTGCTGCTGAAAACGGCAATGGGTCAGGTTGGCCAAGACCCAGCTGTTCAAACTTTATTGTGTTGTACTGTTAGTGCAACGTTGGGCCGCAATTCTTGCTTTCTGTTTGTGCCTAACCTGTCTAAAATGACGTTAATATCTTGATGAAGAGCTACATTTGAAGGGAAGTGACTGATTAGGGGTTTTTGGATATGAAATTGGAATTGGGCTTTGAACTCAAGATATTGGAGCAAATCAGAGAAAAGTAAAAGTGATGGGGCAAGACAAGTGTCTGCCAGAAGGAAATGTTTAGTCCAACAGATTAGCTCTGGTGCACCCTGGAAGATTTAGACCATCTAAATAGCTATGTATGGATGAAAGTTGTTACAGGATTATCTCTTGCGTTATCACAATGGATACAGGGAGAGAATCAAAAGAATTTGCCTTTATTCCAAAATATTGTGGTTTGCTTAAAATCCATGCTGTAGAACTGTAATGTCTACATGTAGGTTTTGAAATGTGAAATATTTGGATATATTAGGTTGAAAACTACTCAAATTAAAAACATGTTATTAAAGGTAATTTCACTTGTTTCTTTCTACTTTTAAAATTGTAGCTGCTAGAAAGCTTTAAATGATGTATGTGATTAACATTACATTTTGCTTACTTTAAGGAGGCAGAGTTGAAGGGGTGTATCCAGTCTGAACTCAGGAGCTTGCTGGCAACATAGACAGTTCCCCCTTGTGAGGAGCCTGGCTAGCTCTCAGCCAGCTTCTTGAGCTGCTGGTCAAGGTCCAGCTTTTTCAACTGAGCATGCAGGAAAAACAGACTTCAGATGTTGCCCGAGGCCTAGATAATGTCTCATGGAAATTTAAGCCCTTCTGCAATTTT